CAGGCCACACGAATTAGTGCTGCAAAGAAAAGAGATTTTCTCCTCCCGTGTGAAGCAAAGCATATAAAGCCACGATACCATAGTTTCTTTAAAAGCCTTCGTGTTTCTGCCGATTTAGAGGAAAGAAGTGAACATTAAGTGTGATAAAACATTTCTTCAAAACAGTCTACGTTTTTAATCTCCATGCATGTATTTAACATAATGTTTTGTAGATGACATGCATTTTGACTCAAATCTGATGTATAATATTTATTCTATTAATGCTAGTAATATTAATTAATACTTAAGTTTAACAACTGGCAAACTTTTATGTTCTTTTGTCAAAAAATACTCATTTATAGTGAAATATATTTGGCCATAATGCCACGAATTGAGATTCAGTTATACTTCAATATGGCCACAAATATTTAAAAAAATTATTACAACAAAATATATTATATTTTATCTTAACATAAAATACTGTGTTTAAAGAACTGCTACATCCTCAAGAAGTAGATTTAGCATATTGCAAATAAAATTGTCCAGAATTTTTTTAAATATTAAAACGTAAATATCACAGAACAACCAATTTTGCACTAGTGGCCATCTTCTTCCCAAGGTGCTAGGTTTAAGGGTTAATCTTTCAGGAGCGGCAACTAACTCAGGTTTGTCGTCTTGTGCTTGCAGCACGACTACGAGAATGCACCGGTACTTCTCTGGCTCCAAGGAGGCCCTGGGGCATCGTCGCTGTACTCGGTCTTCAAGGAAGTGGGGCCGTTCTCTGTGTCTGCGGATGGAAACTCGCTCGTGAGGAACCCTTACTCCTGGCACAAGAACCACTCCATCATATTCATCGACAACCCTGTCGGCACAGGTACACTGCATCCTCTTATTGCGACATTCTTCTGCTCTGGCGACAAGCTCTTTTATGCTGTGTTGGCGGCTCATGCTTGATTTATTGTTACGGCGTACATGTCCTACCAGTATCGCAGGAACTTTTACAATTTGCGTGCAGAATTCGATTTGACTATCTCCATTGCCGCTGTTGACTTCAAAGTAAAGACCTGAAGGATTTCGCAACAAAAAAAATGTAAGTTATTAATCAAAATTACAACCAAACAAATCAGGCAATAAATAGAAATTACAGAATTGTGTATATAGAGGTAAACAGCAAATAATATCTGGAGATTTTTTCCCTACTAGTTATTTCGTGTATGTTCGTGCGATTGTTTTCATTGTATACTGAACTTGTGAGCAAACCAGGAGAATTTAATTTTTGGTTATAGGCTGTTCGCAGTGAACTGGGAGCTTTTAAAAGCTCTACTTAAGATTTCCTTGTATGCACATTAGGTATTCTCCCACTATACGTAAAATTAGTATTGCCTCGGGTCTAATCACTTTACTTGTGCGTCTGTCAAGTGAAACCGTGAAATTATTAGAAAAGTAAATATTTTACAAGTGTGTCCATTCTAACACTTATATTCACTAATGAGCACAAAGCAATATAAATCGTTTCAGTATTCACAAATATTTATCCAACACTTTTAATTGAACATTAAGACATAAATTACCTTCTTTCCGTCGTTACCAACACAACTGGGCGGATGACACAAAGTGTGACCGTTGTGTATATAAGTTGGGGTAGTGACATTTTCCAAAGGTTGATTTCAGAAGTGCTAAAATAACCATACACAGCTTACTTATACTTACATTGGTGTTGACACCTTTCCTTAACTAAGCTTCTGTCTTCAGAGATATACACTACCGATCACTTCTCACGCATATCTACAATCATTGAAATATTGCTTTTTATCTGGTGCTTTGTAGTGTCCCTTTGGAGCACCATGAGCCATATGAATGTTAAGTGGATTTACAGTCAATTCGGAGAGGAATATTTGTAACTTTAGTATAATATTTTACCACATTACACGAACAACTGAAAATTGAGTAATTTTTCCGTACTCCGACTTCACTTCACACAACTGTGCTTTCGGAACAAGATTTCCAGCATAAACACAGCTTTCGACAAAGTCATACTTATATCGAGATAAAAAAAAAGGATAACCAAATACGATATATTTGCCAAATTAATTTAATCAAACATATTACATCATCAGCTTTGAACAATGACCCAATTTTTTTTAGGTTGTGTAAATGTGATTGTTTATGCTTCCTTTAAATATTGTAGAGTACGCAATTAAACAATGACGCAGTTGGGGTAATTATCATATTATTTATATAATTATCAGTAAGCAATGCGCACAAAAATGGTAAAAGGAGGTCTCACAAAATTAACATTGACTAGATTGAGATTTAAAAGTCTTTAATAAAATACTTAAACATCCTTAAACACTGCAAAACAAGCAGTTAATAAAAAAAACACAACAAAATGGCCTTCGACATTAATGGCGCACATGCGCTAAAATAATTAATTTTACATTTGTTTTCTTTAACCACACTTCTAGTTACAATGAATTATAACATGACATAGTGTACGATACGGACAACTCAACCAAAAGGCGAATTATTATTTGCGTTGCCACAACTTCCATATATTAATTGAAACCACAGTATAACACTCCATTTAAGTGCAATGATGACAAATTAGTTTAAGGTGTGAGTTCTATTAATGTAAATACAAGTTACCATTTGTTTAATGAACCCAAGTGCGTAAATCTCTTCACTATACAATACCGAAGATGCAATTAAAAGCGTGAACATAATTCACGTAACCACTAGTAACCACAAATTTAATGAAACCATATTATTAATTTCCATCAATAGGTGATACCTATATAATACTGACAATTTCATGTATGACCTGAATCTAATTCACGTAACCACAAGTCGCCATACAATTAATTCATACCAAAAGCATGATTCTCAACTTAGGTAGAATACTGACAATTCAATTTAAAGCATGACTTTATTCACGCAACAGTGAGTTGCCATTTGTCATTAAATGAATCCCCAAATCTGGTGACCAACCACTTACACTTTGGCTATATTAGAACTTACCAAACTCTAACAGAGTACCTGATTTATTACACACTCGCAACTCTTCACAGTTAAAATCTAACGTAAACACCTAATAATAAATGGTTGAAATGGTGACTAATAATTTGCGTTGTTAAACATTATTACAATCTCCGCTTACCTGGACCGTTTCCATGCGTTCTAGTTACCACTTTAGTTTGCACCGAAATACATTAAGCATATTAATCGCAAAAGCGGACAATGAAAATCTTTAAAAGTCACTGTGAAGTTATTTAAAGCTCTCTTATTGCAACACATACAAGTGTCCTCCAAATAAAGAGAAAGAAGGCGACATCATGTGCCCATCCATAGCAAAAATTACAACGCCGGGCATGAATAGTGACGTGAGATCTAAATTTCAAAGATAGATTTACTCTATGTGCCTCCAAATGATTGCAGTGACGAAGTCATTACCAAAGTGGCTGTCCAGCACTGTCCTTCGAACTATTCGCGCTGGAGTATAACTAATGGCGCACTTGAGAAGCTACAATATATAAGTTGCCTTTATCAGTTGGAAGAATGTCTTATTCCACAAACTCAATGTGCCTTCGGCGACATACGGGGCAATAGGAACAGCTGAGAGATAATTGAGCGTGGTCGGATTGATAGAACGCGAGAATTTGGGTATCGGACTTAACAGATTTCCAAGCGTATGGAGCGAGTCGCTAATACAGTGATGCACGTGTTTATTCACTGGACAACTGAGTGTTAAACAAACATATAACAAAGTACAGGATCTAGAATTCACACCATTGCGATGGAAGACAGACACAACTAGAGCTTTTCCAGCACAGTTCGTACAGTGACATCAATCTCTCAGTTTCACATTCCCAGTTTAAGAGTTAAGCGATCCTGAAAGAAACTGGTGACCTATACGATCCGATATTTTAACGGAATTCATGATATTCAGAAGGAAAAATTGCTTTGGAAATGCTCACATCATCACGTATCAATTTACTGTAAACATCTGTAAAGAAGAAAGAGGACAATTCCCAACGTAGATGAATTAAAATAGTTAGGAACCATTCCCTTAACCAGTGAAATGCAGAATATTATACAACAACCTCCAGAAAGCTAAAATGTGGACAAACAATACAGCATATGCGATTAATTCAACATTAATAATAGTCCACTAATTTGTAGGTTGCTGTGGCCCAATAATTAAGCCACTAGGTATTGTATGTTCCAGTCCCACCAAGGGTTGATATGTCCGTATTCCCCCTCCCCCTATTTTTGCAAAATCATTTATAGGTACTGATCTCACCACGGTTACCTATATATGTAGCCCTATTTATATTTATGTTTTAATTCTGTTGCCACAAATGTTGTAATATTTCTTAATTTTTAATGAAGTATTGTGATGTTCATCCCATTTGATTACTAAAATATCTCCGTTTTCTAGACGTGTAAAACGTTTACAGCAAATATCTCATATACATATATAACAAGTAAACAAGTATATTGCTGGACATGGAAATCGTTAGACCCTCTTTTCTTATGTGAAACTTTATCAAACCATCACAGTCTGATAGACGATAGTAAAAATGAGTAGTGTTTAGTCTTTCATGTATAGAAGCCACGTTGTTTAGCATCCACGTAGCATAGTATAGGGGTAGAACCTCCGCGCGAAGTTAAAAATCAACAGTGAATGATGCTGCCATGCGGGCCAAGTGCCTTTACACATTTTGGCATCGATCAGAATTGGTTCTTGATAATATCCTAAGGAAGGGACTGCTTCACAGTGAATACAGAGTTCGCTAATGGATACTGGTGGAAGTGCTTGGTGGACCATCCTCTGTGCAACGACGTTGTATGTATAGTTCGGGTTGTAACGAGCAACTTTAAGTACTTAAGTACGACATCGTCAAAATTATGCATTGTGGTGTAAAGATTGTTAGTTACGTCAAACCAGAAAACACGAGCAACATAAATGTGCTGAAGACATTAAGAGGCTAAGTGACTTCGCGGAATATAAAATTTATATTTTACCTTTCGTGGGAATCGAACCCAAAATCTCCGGTTTAGGAGGCCGATGCCTTTTCCGTTAGGCCACAAGGTCTTACGGGTTCGAGATCTCTTAGTTAAACTTAATTATGATTTTTCGTTGCGCTCACTTTTTTTTTATGCAGTTGTGTGAGTTTTAATGTATTTTTTCTGGATAAACCAATATGTGGTTGTATGTGCAATACCACAGTAAAGGGAATGCCATGATGAATTACATACGTTATTTATATCAATTTTATTATATAGCACGCATATTTTTATAATATTTTTACTAACTTAGTTTAACTGTGGGTCGTGGTACAAAACACTTTGAGAAAATATGTAAACGCAGAAATTTCTCCAGTAATCTATACGTATTATAAGTAATTTGTACATATATATGCACACACACACACATAAATCGGCGTGTGTGTAGATATGTGCGCGCGCGTTTTATATGGCTCGATTTTAAAAAACCATTATAATTTGACTAAAATACAGAAAAATAAATAACCGAGTAATAGCTGTGGTAAATACATTCACGCACAATCCATATGACGTCATAGAGTATTGTTCATCAATATTGTTGGTTTATGGCCCAAATTATTTTTAAGATATTTATGAATTATTAATTTACTCTGAAATCCAAAAATAACTTTTCCCAAAGAAGTTTTTGCATCAGATAGAATATCCAGGGTTACAAGTCACCTACATCACTAAAGATAGCCAAAATATCAACTTGGGAATACGGCAATTAAAATTATAACATTGGAAGACTGTTGTGTTTACTGTTTAAAACTACAGCGTTGGAAAATGTAACTTCAGCCAGTAACAAGCGTATAAATTAAAGAATCTATTACAGTCAAGTTCAGTGTTTAATGCAATTCAGAATTCCCCTCTTTTACAATGAATCCCATTTCGTAGAATACATATTTAGAGTAAATTAAGCCACTGAAAATGATATCTTTATTTGCTGTCCGATGAAACGTCCACGATTTACGCGTTGCCTTCTGGAACACAGTGCCCAGTTTCAATTCACGTGCAAGCATAAAATAATTTAGTTACGCAATGAATTAATTTCAGTTCTTTAAACAGGTTGGAAATATATAGTTTGTCATGTTGGACACAGATATCTACCAAAACTGACCTTTGACCTGAACCATTGATATAAGAGCTATTTTTTACCTTGATTTAATTAACTTTAATTCCAATTACAGATAACCACCTAATGTCACGGTACGTTTGACACTCGTGTCTTATCATTGCACTCCAGGGGGAAAATAAAGCAGTTCCTCTAAAACCGAAGAAAAAGGAACTAGACACGCTAAATTTGTTTTTCTTTACCTGAAGAAAAAATATTCCTTACAACTTTTTGTAAAATTGGTATTGCTATGACGACTAGCACTACAGTTGGCAACACTACCTGCAACATACGAAATATGTTCCAGTATGTTTAATCGCGTAACTTAAAGAACGTTTCGAGAACAATTGTGTGTCAGAAATAATTCACAAATCTTTCAGGTATCTAAATAGAGGGCGACGTTGCTAACAAAACCAACTATAGTCAAGTATGTCGAAGTTGCAAAAATATTTGCAAACCAAACAAAAAGAGTAATAAAATTGTGGCGAAAGTTGTATATTTTAATGAAAAGTAATATCTGCCATCAGTTATTTTTTATTTTAAATGTTTCGGTACTGATAGATTTACGAGTCTGTTTTTCAACATTCTGAAATCTGCATGTAAATTCATATTTGAGCTTTTTCAAGGTTTTGCTCTAAAATGTTATACGTTCACACACCTCAAGAAAGCTTTGCACAACACGGATATATAAGTCACTAGGTTTCTCACAGCCCAGGAGAAAGTATGGGGAGAAAATACACACTGTCTGTACAGAATGCCAACGCCGGACTTGGATGTATTTTTGTAATGCCCCTGCTGTCGCTGCGAAAATCCTTCGTCAGCAACCAGGCGCAAAATTTTTTAAGGCATGTAGATCTTCGTCAGAAAATTTTACACACCACTATTTTTATATTTTCTGTCTGATATCAGGAACCATACCAGTGTAAATAATTACACGTTGGATTAAAGAAATGGCTTGTTTCGAGGAATTTATATATTTCATAATCAGAGAATTTGAAAAACTTTTTTTTATAAGTTGAAATGTGGACATTTTATTTCCGTTATAAATCGGACAGGATCTTAGACCTTATTGGTCTAGGTGAATTAAAAGTAAAATATTATTAAATGTTAAATTATTTCATAATTTCGCCCATATTCCAAAGTTACCTTTTTAGATTAATAACAACATTTTCATTACAGTTATAAAGCAAAAAAAATTAAATGGCATTAGTGAATTTGCACCAAAATATATACGTTTTTAACTGTACATTTCTATATGCATCTCAAAAAGACCGGACAAAAGTATAATTTAACGCCAAAGGCTAAGGAAAAACAAGAATGTAAGTTATATGCCCATTGCATAGCATATTTAATGTACTAAGAAGTCGAGTTACCTGCAGACAGGTTATTGTATGTCTCCCGATTAACGCAACACGTATTCTGTCGGGACCACGAAGATACTTTCATCACATAGTTTCAGCGTTGTTATTCAAGTGTAAACACGTCATCTTCATTCAAATGTGTTATAAGATGGTAAACCGTCCACATAATTAGTTTATTGGTTGATCTGATAAATTATTCAAAGAGACGCAGAGCCACAGGAAACCACACTGACAAAGCATATGCACTGCAAGGTCGGTGTTCCAGTTCCGTGAAGTTGTTATATTTTTAGTCCAATACACTCTGGAGTGGAGAGGTTGGAAAAGTTTTGGCGGCTCTTAACATCGGGGTCTTGAGAGCCGATAACGGTGCAGAGAGGTTAGTATGGATCAGTACAGGAATGCAAGGGCGGGGAAACGGGAGATCCCAGAGAAAACCCGCCGACCAACGGCGTCATCCAGTATGATTCCCACGCGCGAAAATCTGTGGGCGACCTGTCCCGGAATTAATCGAACCCGGTTCGCCTTAGTGGGGGGCAAGAACTCTAGCCGCTGAGCCACCGCGGCCTCATAACACAGTGTGACAAATGCTGCCTGGTTTAATTTAAGTCAAAACATTTTTATGATCAAAATTCTTTTTCAGCGGTCAGAAGTGCTGTTTTATAACATGAAAACCATTATTAGTTGGCACCTTCTTTACCACAGATTGAACCCAGAACATCACTGTTGAATTCTCGATACGATCAAAAAAAGTATTTTTATATTGACTGGTCTTCATGATGACCAACATTCAATACCAATGTTACCGTTCACGACAAAGATAATACAAATATAATATCACTCACAGTACTCGGGAAAACACTTAAAATACCATGTACATGTGTATATAACCAATGATCAATGTCCAAGCAGAGAACTGTTGTTCTTGTTCAGGCTTCAGCTACACGAAGGACGAGGCAGGCTATGTCACCAATCAAGACGAAGTTGGAAGAGATCTGTACATCGCCTTGCAGCAATTCTTCAAAATGTTCCCGGAGCTGCAGAAGAACGACTTCTTCATCACTGGGGAGTCCTACGCTGGTGAGTGAAGAACGTGTGGCTACGCTGGCTCGTTGAAAGCACGGTTTTCGGGAACAGAAAGTTTATTCCGTATCTTAGTTAGTTGAACAGTTATGCATTACCTGTCATTTAGTACTTGGTCTCTCGCAGCTGTGGCATGCCATTGTTATCATTCGTATACTTGCTACCGTCCTCCTTTGCAGAACTGGCTGTGATGTAAGCTGGGTCCTGGTGTGATTCGCTGGTAAATCATGGGCGCATGCGCAATATCTAGGCTAACGTTGAGGTTAAGTTTATTTTCTAATACCACCTAAGCATATAGTAAGGGGAATAGTAGCTAATTGTATATAGTCTATTTTATTTATAAATGTAAAATTTTAACTTTATGAGAATCCTATTCAAGAAAACTATTTCAAATTTTTACATATCAACGTATACTTGACGTATTGCATTTGTAAAACAAATAATACAATATACTGCCCTTATTTCGTCCATTTTGTGTGTGTTATATTTTAACGAATATGTCAAAAATCACACCTGAGAAGCCTATTTTATCATTATTAAGTTCACTAGTAATGTCTTGCAAGGCTGCCATTACATTGGCTTACATAGTAGATAATATCCCAGAGTGGCAAATATTATTAATAGAAAGTTACATTTATAACTATAAAGTTATCGTGTTAAATTTTTGAGAGATGTTTAAAAATGTGTTTTGTACATGAGAGGCAGTGTGATTTCAAAGTAGCACGTACACAAGTTCATGAACGTCATTTCGCACACGAGCATATAACGAAAAAGAACAATTTTACTTTTAACTGTTAAGCATATTAAAATTAATTTTTCCAATTTACACAAAAAGTTTCAGCTGTTGTTGCCTGCGTTTACCTATATCTAGTGCATATATTAAATCTAGATTAATGTAAAACTGAGCTGGGATATATATTAAGAATTTCTTGTGTACAGGCAAGTAGTTACACTAAGCAAATACGAAAGCTAACCGAGAAGTTTTAGCCCTACTTCATTTTGGGATTATTATTTTCATCATTGAGAGGCAATATTAAAGATTTAAAATTCCTGCACCTAAAACTTACTCAAAGTATGCGTTTGATTGTGTGTAGCAGATAAACCTAAAAAGGATATGAAATGAAGATTTGGAAAGTATAGCTCTTAGCAGCCATGTTAAAAACTAGGACGTGATAAAACAAATTGTAATTTGACACAGATAGACAGTAAATATATTAAAAATATTGGTGGTGGAATACTATATTTTATGTGTATGTATTTTTTTCATCTTCCTAGTTTTATAATATTATAAATTTTTTTTACAGGTAAATACATTCCGGCTCTCGGCCATACCATCCACCTGAAAAATCCAGAAGCCAGTCTAAAGATAAATCTTAAAGGTAACTAAAGTTAACTTTAATTTTTCCCAATGTTCGAAGTAATGTTTAACACTCAATGAAAATGCCCTAAATAATTATGTAACAAACATGTCCCATAAATGAATTTGCATTGAAA